AAAGAAATATTCACATTATAATTATAAAGGACAACACCATAACTTCTGAAGTCTCACACAATTTCATGCATATATTACTGCAGCAATGTAGCATAATTAAACAGAAGTCATCGTCACCTTCAAACAACTCCTATCAAATAGCAACAAGAGAGTACTGAGAAAAGAACTCCACTCAGAAATAGAATCTGCAAGAGCTCATTACTAAGAAATAAATCATCATCATAGAAAAGTCACCGAGGACTAATCTCGCATAAAATAGCTCTATCGATAAGATAGATTTCGTCTCCAATGCTCTATCTTGAGAGAATATTTGGAGTTGTATATATAGTATAAGAGAGTCGTTATCTGATGAGTAGAAAACAATTAATCATGTAAAAAAAAGAGTATAAAGATAATTGTACAAAGTCTTGCGAGAATATATATGCCCTAAATAATTACTATAAAGAATATGAGGCTCCGTGCCTGAGATACAGCAACAGGCAGAGACCAATACAATAACCAAAACGCACGCAGCCATAAGTCACACACATACTTCAGAGACCATTACAGAATTACAAAGAAAGCCAGATGAGCAGCATCTATTGAATGAAATATAGGAGATTGTGCAGTTGGGCAGATAGAATAGTGCTATTGGCTACCGCTCGACCGACCGAAGGATTAAATCAGGAGAGAAGAATAAAAAAATCTCAGATTCAGCCCTCACAGGGGCGAGAGCTCTCTTCATACTGTGGAATTCAAGGATACCCATCATACGGAACATAGGACGGACGACATGGAGATTGAATTGTATCTACATATATTATATCAGTATACTAAGCATCAAACTTTCAAAAGAGCACCTTGGAACGGCGGGTTTGGACAACCATTGAGAGTGACATACAAAACTCATCAACATCTAAGCCACCACAGGGGTTATGAGAATCAGGAACTTCATCGAGTAAATTTATAAGTAGAAAAAATATTTTATAAACTAAAATGTTAACTCACAGGATGATTTCGTACACGTTGAGAAAGTCGGCAGCCACTGCGAGGGATATCTCTGGATCGGCCCACATTTCTGAGTATCATACATGGTCAGATGTTGTTGGTGGAAGACAGAGGGGGAGGGTATATGGCATGGGTTCACAGGCTTTTGCTATTGAGGGCAGTTCATACACCTCTGCATTTCATGATCCAAGTGGAGCTGAAGAATCTGTAAGCGAGAGGGTTGCAGCGATTACTAGAGAGATTGAAGAGATAAAAATGGTTCAATCTAGAGAGATTGAAGAAATGAGAAAGGTTCAGAATGAAATGCAAGCAGAGTTGCAATCCTACAGAGCTGAAAAACAGAGGAAAAAGGACCAACAGGAGCAGCCATCTGCAGACAGTGAGGATACAGATGATGATTAGATCTATTTTATGTTTGATGATTGTATTAATTAGAACTTGTGAATTTCAGAACTTGTGATTGCAACATTATCATGAACTTACTTGTGAACTATGATTGTAATGTTATGATGAGCTTGTGATTGTATTTATAATTTATGGTTGTGATGAATCTAGCGGCGTGTTGCCCAACATATTATTGTGATGAATATAGCGGCGTGTTGCCCAACATATATTGCTCTTTCTGCGGTTTGGCTGCCGGAAACTACGATACCGGACGGCCAATAGCAAGCCGCCGGTAATGGCATCACACCGTCGGTTTATTACCGGCGATTATCGACGGCCACAGCCGGAAAACCGTCGGTCAATTAACCGGTGGCCGTCGATCAATTAATCGGCGGCGTCACAGCCGGAAAACCGCCGGCTACATAAACCTCCGGTAAAAAACCGCCGGTAATAGTTTCCTACGCGATTTTTTCCGGCGGCACAAAAACCGCCGTAAAGCCGCCGGTAGTTAAAAAAACCGCCGGTTAATATAGGCTTACCACCGGAAAAAACCGCCGGATTTCGACGTTTTTCCTGTAGTGCTTATGTTTGAGTCTTCTTTAAAAACATATTATGTTTGAGATTTTCTTAAGTTTGCCACTTCATTTTCCATAGAACTAACCTTTTTACCTTTAATCTCTGTGGTAGAAAGGTTTACTGAAACTGGACAAAATATATCCAGATGCCTAATTTTACCACATTTAAAACAAATGTTTGGCATTTTTTCATAAGTAATCTTTTGATAGAATCTTCCAGTAGCTCCTTCAACCCATACTCCCAATGGTAATTTGCTGTCCAACCTGATTTTTACACAGATTCTAGCAAATTCACGCCTTCCCCATTGGAACATGTTATCATCAATCAGAAAAGGTTTTCCAACCATAGAAATGATTTGACAAACATTGATTTTATCCCAACTCCGTAAAGAGAGTGGGTAATCTGATCCAGACCGGAGCCGTTAAACCTTTCAATGAAGATTGATGGAAATCAGGGGACCATTTATCAAGTCCAATAATGCAGCCATTCACATACCAAGGTCCATTGTTGAGAACCAAATTCATCGCCTCCCTTTCTTCAAAAGCATACAGGGTCCATCCTCCTCCTAGCAAGGTCATATGAAACCTGCCATATTGGTTCCATTATCTTCTTAATTCTGATCCTATGATATGATAAGGGACTCCCTCTCCAAAAACCTTAACAACCAAAGACTTTGAAAGTATGTTAGTATTACAAGATTCACTCTCTTGATGAAGTTTTACCACTCCTTCAAAATTTTCCCCGTAGTCAAAATTAATAACTTTGAAGTTTGGTTTCAAATTCCAAGCCGAAATCAAATCCCATTTTTCTGTCTGTGGTAAACCAGGAATCAAAACTTCAGAAGAATTGCAGTTACCAAGAACTGCTGATTCACAAACTCGAACATTCTCCCAATCTCCTTTATTATGTTTTCCAGATGCATCAGAAGTGATATCTTTCTGTAATACTGGACCAAAAATGACTTTTCCTGTCATCGATACTTCCATTGAATTCTTTATCATGATTTCTTCAGAAATTGAGCCAACAGCTGTTGATGAGATATCATCCATTTTCTTCGTTCCAAGATTATTTGTTGAAATTCTATCAATCATGGGATTTAAACTAACATCCCGATCCTCAGCTTCTTCTTCAACAACTTTTTTACCTTTACCAATACATTCTTTATTCTTCACCGGGGAGAGGCAGCCTCCCTCTCTTATCACCAAAGGTCTAGCAGAAAACCTTATCCTGGGATCTTGATCGAACACCTTGTTTACATTACCGAAAGCAGGGGAGAAAAACCTTGACTGCTTCGCTGGAGAATCTTTACTGGAGCCACAATAGGGATATGACCATTACCATCGCCGGAAGATGGAGGACGACGACCCTCCACCGTCATCGGAGATGGAGAAGACGCGCGGGAAATCAGGGAAATCAAAAAGTCGTTAATTTCTCTCACTATAATCCGCTCTTTCTCTCACTACAATCCGCTCTTTCCTCAAATATTAAGTTGCTTTTAGTATTTGATTAGAACATAAAATGACATTTTTTTTCCAAATAGGTCTTATGCAACTTTATTGTCTCACCCGGATCTAGGTTAGTCTGTTAAGATTACGGTTAAGTTGGGTTAGAATGTGACAAGGTTTATCAACCTTTAAGTTTAGGTTAAGCTCCAACGTCCCATTTAAGGTCCCTCTTAGGAGAAGAATATCTATTTATTCATAGTTTATGGTGTATCATTTTATTAATTTTAGCCAAAAATCTCTAACATTTTATTAATTGATCCATATTGATGCATTTGATCATAGAATAATCCTTAGACATTTATGTTCCTTAATGATATTTTATTTAACTGATCTTGGGATCACTGAGATTTTTTTGTCAAAAAGCTTTTCTTAACTACAAATATGAAATATTTATCGATTTTTTTGTCCCTCAAAGTAGGGGTGTCAATATTTGACCTGAACCGAACATCTGAATCGAACCCAACCCGAAAATTTAGGGTTTGGGTTAGGGATTTCAACCCGTTTGTAAAATCGAGTCGGTTCAGGTTGATGCAGAAATCCAAAATTAATCTGATTTGACCCATTTTTAATTGATTTAGGAGGGTTTTAGAAGATTGTTATGAAATAACTAAATATTATTTTCAAAAAATAATAAACCATATTGCCCAAACTGAATTAAGCTGATTTATTTTAAATTGATTGAAGTAAATTTTATCTTAATTCAATTTCGATTTAAATAAATCGAATTAAATATAATTATTTTAGTAAAAAATAAAAGAAGCAGGTAGGGTTCGGATCAGAAAAACTGACCCCTTTGCAAAAATGAGACAGATTCGGATCAGTTTAAAAAAGTGTTGGGTAAGATTCGGATTTAACCCGAACCCGATCCAAAACTCTCTTTTGATAGCCCTACATCAAAAAGTGTCATAAAGTTTTCAACTATGCTTTAATTTGATTATAGACTCATTTGGATTCAAATCAAAATACTGTAGTGTCATTAGACTCATCTCATCAAAATATTTATTTCAATTATAAATTTGTTAAAATTGGAATTTGGATGATTCTGAATTTAAATATGAAATTTTCAATTTAAGTACTACATCTAGATTTGTATTTGATCAAATAACTTTTCTAATAACGTGTATGTATAAATATTTATTAAAATTAAAAAAATAATAATATTATGCGAGGTTTTTTGTCCTTACTAAAAAATAAATGGACTTTTCCTCTCAAAGGGGTCCATTCTCCACAAAATTAATAAAAAAAGAATTTTGTTTTAAAGGTCTATTTGGAATTATTATTTTTTAAATATGTTTCATATGAAAGGAAATATGTCTTATTGGTTAAATAAGAAAGTTGTTTCTATAAAGTTACGAGTTTAAGCCGCATGATTTAAAATAAGAAAATATATTTAAAAATTAACCTATTTTTATAAAAATAAAAATAACATATGTTAATATATCAAATGTATTTTTATTTTATATCAAAATATAAATAAAATAAAATAAAATAAATATGAGTAATCCCAACTAGCCGTTAGCCCCTTAATGCCAACTTATTTTGAAGTTAATATCCTTTACATTTGTTTTTCCACGGGGAAAAAATTTGTTGGATGGCAGTGAGTAGATGATTAAAATCAGTTAGCGAACCAACGGTTCCATGGTCACGTCCACCGTTGATGACCTCCGTCGCTCGAAGCCTTCATTCCGATCGTCTTCTCCGCCGTCTAAAAAACTCCCCTTCTCTTCCCCTTGCCGTACTCCATCAAATCCAAGCCCAAATTCTAACGAACGCAAGCCTCCATAACTCTACCCCTCTCCTTTCCGAATTCCTCTCATCTTGTGCCCGTTCTCGCAACTTCTCCGCTGCTTGCCTCCTCCTTAAGAATCTTTGCAGCCAAATCCCGTCAACATTGAATCATGTCCTCCGCTCCCATGCCGAATCCCTCTCCTCTCAACAAATCTTGGTTTTATACCGAGAAATGGTCCGTCAAAAGATCCCCCAAGACAGATCAATCTTCACAGTTATGTTCCGCGCCTGTGCCCAGGAGGCCTCCAGCGTTGGGGAGTCCCTCCATTGCCACATTCTGAAGTTGGGATTTGTATCCAATCTCTTTCTAATGACAGGATTACTCGATTCCTATGCCAAAAGAGGATCTTTGGGATCTGCCGAGAAGCTGTTTGATGAAATGGTTGAAAAGGACGTTGTTGCTTGCAACGCCATGATTGCTGCATTGAGTGGTAATGGCCGCACAGAAGATGCGAGGAAGTTATTTGAGGGAATGCCAAAGAAGAGTTCGGCTTCCTGGAACACTATGATCACGTGTTATTGCAAGCAAGGCAATGTTGCTTTAGCTAGGGAAATTTTTGATCAGAATCCAGTTAAGGATATTGTTTCCTGGAATGCTATGATCGATGGGTACTGTAAAATAGGACAGCTTAGCGTTGCACATCAGCTGTTTGAACGTATGGGTCATGCGAGGAATTCAGTTACTTGGAATACTATGATGTCTGGTTATTTGCATCAAAGGGAGTTTGGTACTGCAATTTCATTGTTTCGGGAGATGCAGATGGAAAATGTTAAGCCTACTGAAGTGACTATGGTGAGCTTGCTTTCAGCTTGTGGTCATTTAGGTGCTTTAAATACGGGCAGATGGATTCATGCTTATATTTGCAACCACCATTTAAATATTGATGTTGTTTTGGGAAATTCTCTTATTGATATGTACTTTAAATGCGGTAACATTGAAACTGCACTTGAGGTCTTCCGTGGAATGCCTTCGAAGAACGTTTTCTGCTGGAATTCTGTCATTGCAGGTTTTGGAATGCATGGCCATGGAAAAAAAGCCATAGAAATATTTCTTGAAATGGAAACAACTAGTGGAATTAGGCCAGATGAGATCACATTTGTTGGGCTACTATCTGCATGTGGTCACTCTGGTTTGATATTCGAAGGCAAAAGATATTTCTCTCAAATGTTTGGAGTTTATGGATTAGTGCCGCAGATTGAACACTACGGCTGCATGGTAGATCTTCTAGGTCGTGCAGGTCTACTTCAAGAAGCATTGCACTTTATAGAAACAATGACCATCAAACCAAACTGTGTAGTTTGGGGCAGCTTGCTTCGTGCATGTAAAATTCACAGAGATACTAAGACAAGCGAGCATGTGACGCAAAGACTTCTAGAATTGGATCCTAATGATGGGGCGAATTATGTTTTCTTGTCCAACATTTATGCTTTGGCAAAGCAATGGGAAGATGTTGACACCTGTAGGGCAATCATGATTGAGAAAGGGGTTCACAAGGTGCCTGGGTGTAGCTCTGTGGAGGTGAATAACGTGGTTCATGAGTTTGTTGTTGGTGATACTTCACATCCGCAGTTTGAAAAGATTAGCATCTTTCTGCTTGAGATTGAGAGGGAGCTGAGGAACCTGGGTTATCGGCCAGGAACAGGTTCTGTACTTCATGATATAGAGGATGAGGAGAAAGAAAATGCTGTTTTGTATCATAGTGAGAGGATTGCTATTGCTTTTGGGCTGATTAACACAAGGAAAATGGAGCCGATTCGAGTGGTGAAGAACCTTAGAGTTTGTAGTGATTGCCATGAAGCAATAAAATTTATAGCTAAACTTTTTAAGAGGGAAATTATTGTAAGGGATAGGAGTCGCTTCCATCATTTTAGGGATGGATCTTGTTCTTGTCAGGATTATTGGTGAGGACCTAATTTTATTTTTCAAGGTAATATTATTGATCAATCTATTTATTGGGTTTAATTATTGACTCTACTGCTACAGCTTCTGTAATTTTTACTTTTACCAGCTCATGTCAAATTTATCCTTGTTTTCAAAATTTTAATGCAGTTTATTTCCTAGTGTGTTGCATGGTTCAAATTAAAGCTTAGACATTCAATATAGATGCCATTTTCCATAGTTCAATGTGATATTATTTTGTTTTGCCTTTAACGGAAGGCATTCTGTAAGAGCATTATGTTTTCATGAATTTTGTTTTTATATAATTGCCTTATATTGGTTCAGATGCATGAACATTTCTTCTGTTATTTTTTGGAAATAAACTCAGCCTTATGTACGTTTGTTATAGCAGTTGCACTGCCCTCTTAAAAGGCAGTTTGGTTGGTGAAAGCTTGATATATAAAGTGAAATATTAGCATGTAAAGTAACTTTTGTTTGGTTAGCATGAAGCTTTAGTGAATTAAAGCAATTTTAATTCATTCTTCAATTTCTTGACAATTTTACTTCAATTTCTTTAAAAATTTGCTGAAAAGTTAAATGCAATCAATTTGGCTACATTATTTAAAGCAAGCCTTGCAATTTTTTCTTTTTTTCTTTTTTTTTTTCATTTTTTGGAAAAGTTAAATGCCCAAGCACAAATCTGTTGCAGATGAGATTCAAGCTTCATTTGGGACGGCTTTCTTTCTGCTTCTTAAAGCAATTTATTAGTACAAAATTTTAATTTTTGTACTAGAAAGCTACTTTTAGAAGCAATAAGAAAGTCATCCCAAACGAAACTCAATTATAGGATGTTGTAGATATTAGGAAGTTAGCAAGTTCCTAGGATGTAATCCTAGTCATCAAATTTGTGTATAGCCACTAAACTTTCCAAAAAGAAAAATCAAATATGAGAAATAATAGGATTAACATAATATCTCATCATGCCATGGGACTTAAATGATATATGACAAATCATAATTCTCATGGCATAATGTTTGTAATGCATCCAACATATGTTCACTATGTGCTGATACGAGTTCAAGAAAAGTTCAAATATTGTTTAACAGACCATAGAGTTTTCTGTGAAAAATAGCACCACCGAATATGATTTTCAAAATTGTTTCCTTGAGTGCCAAGCATCCAACTTAGGTGTTCGACAACAAACAATGACCCTTTACAAGTGTTGTGCCTCATAATATTTAATTACATATCCAGCACATGTCCCATTACATGATTAGAATGGCTACAAGAGCTGGGACCACATGTCATTACATTTAAAGATTAAATAAATTTATACGGAAATGTGAGTACTTCTTGTATGATCTGCCTTTTTCCTTGCTCATCTAAATTTCTCTAGCATGTTTCTATGAAATTATTTAAACTGTCTAATTTCTCTTTTGTTTTTTCTATTGGGCAATAGAAGTTAAAACACAAATGCTGCATTGGTTCTTCATAGTCCTGGGTATTTTTCTAGAGTATGCCATTGCCTAACAATAGAAAAATCAGCACCTTAACATCGCTGCAAAGGGGGGAACAACATTGGAATTCATAAAACTTCCTCAATTATGCTGCATCATAGATGTTATCAGGTTCCTATTAATTATTTGAAGTGAGTATTTGGTAGTTACATGACATACGCATCCTTTAACATCAAAACACAAACTAGAACATGTCAACATGAAAAAAATATAGTATGATTTTCTAACATTTGATACTGTATCAAGACTGCTGAAAGACCAAGTCTAGAAGTTTATGTAAAGCTTGCATAATTAGGACATTAATGTAGCCAAAGAGTAAGTGTGAAGTTTCTATGCAGAATGATCAGCTTTTGTTTCGTACCCAAGATGAAGGGCAGTTTGATCTTGATGGTGTGAGTAATGAGGTGCTGTTTCCAATATGTTTAAGTGATAGTAATTCCTGGAGTCGAAGTTTGGAAGGTTGTCAAAATCAGTCCCTGCTTGAACGATATTTGCATGCTCCGCTCTTTCATTATCGTTTATCTGCACAAAGCAAACGGCATGAAAGTTTTACATTAGAAGAACACATTACACCATTTTTTGAGAGTTGAAGAATAAGCTGCAGGAGTAAATGATTTGATTGGCGGGATATATAGAGAGAAAGAGAGAGAGAGAGAGAGAGAGAGAGAGAGAGAGAGAGAGAGAGAGAGAGATGCAGTGTCTCCCTAAATAAGATTATCGTCAAACATTTTTTAGAAGGTGCAAAAAATCTTTGGTATATAAACTCTATCATTTAGTCAACTGATATTTGTGCTCACTATAAACCCATTTCTTATAATTTGCATGATGCTAACACTTTAAATATGCGGACTACATACCATGTTTGTTCTTGGTGCTTTGATAACTTTAAGAAAAACTTCATGAGTAGCATTTACGCTATGTTAGTCCACAAGGTGGCATGCATGGGCCCTTTTTTGTTTAAAAATTTATCCGCCCACTTAGTTTGGTGCTTTCCGTTAGGGCTGTCAAAATCGGGTCACAGGTCGTGTTCGGGTCCCACCCGGAACTGACTTGACATTGTTCGACCTGACCCAAACCCGTCGGACACAAACCTGACCCGCTTCAGGTTCAGGTCAACCCGAATCCGACCTGCATAGAGGTAACTTTCTCCGTCGTTAAGGTAACTTTTGATCATAAGCAACGACGAGAGTTCGCTTGGAATCAACGACGGTAGTTCGTTCGCTGTCGCTGTGAATGTAACTTTCTCCATTTCGTGAGCTTAGAGGCGTCTAGGGTTTGCTTTTTATCTTCTCTTTTTCGTTGTTGCTGACTTGGTCAGCTCCTTCGTTGTTGTTCGACTTCGCTCCTTGGACGACGTTCCCTTCCGGTGGGATCGGAAGTTACAACATTTTGATTGGAAGCAACAATGGGAGTTCACTCGCTATGAAGGTAACTTTCTCCGTTTCGTGCGCTTCTTCGGCCAAACCCCGTAGATAAGCCGAACTACAGGATTCCAGGTCATTTTCAAGTTTCCGGGTCAACCCAAACCCGACCTGGAATTCAAAATGGGTCAAAAATCAGGACCCAAACCCGAAATTTTCGTGTCAGGTTCGAGTTGGGATTTCGGATCTTCTCAATTTTTTGCATCCCTAATCCCAATCACCTACCCCCTGAAATATTTAGTGTAATTTAGGAAAATTTAGATCAACGCTAAATTTGATTAAATTTGCATGCATATTACATCCAAGTCAAGCTTGCCTTAAAAATTAGTAACTTTATTTCTCTTGGAAAAGTGTCATTTATGACTGAATATGAAAAAAAAACTCTCATTTAGGGCTTTTTGCTAGCAAACTTTTTGCTACTTCATTTCTCTTTTTCACCCAACCTAAAGTTCACGAAATACGAATTATTATGTCATAGGCAATCATCGAACCAAAGAATTTGGCAACAACTATCAAGGCTCTAATCAATCAAGCTATAGTTTAAACACAACATTGTTTTTGATGCAATTAACAAATAATAATTTAGACATGAAAAGTCACAAGACTTTGTTTGCAAAAAAAAACTACATAAGGTGACAAGTTTATACAAATGCTCCAAAGAGAATTTACTATTCTAACATTAAAAGTGAATTTCATAGAGAAAATTGACAACTACTAATGAAATCCAACTGTGATGGCCATGCCTTATAAAATGGAAAGTATGGGTGTCAATATTTGACACGATCCAAACCCGACTCAAAAATTTTGAGTTCGGGTCAACCCGAACCCTAGCCGGGTCGGGTTCAGGTTAAGAATTTCGACCCATTTGTAAAACCAAGTCTGGTTCAGGTTGACCCGGAAACAACTCTGGTGACCCGAGAAATCATGGTAGTTCGTTCGTCACAAACGTCGTCACTCGTTCGTTAGTCATGTCCGCCAATCGCTTCTGTCAGTCATGTCCGCCATGCAGTTCGTCACCGTCGTTGCCTCTTCGTCCGGTCCACTCGTCGTTCATTTGCCATCGAAACATCGAAACCGCAGCAGTCACCGCCTAAAGCCAACAAGATTCGACGCACTCTTGTTGTCCCACTGCCGACCTCTCTTCCTCGCCATCGTCCCGCCGCCGAAGTCCAAACTCGAGCCTTCTTGCTTCAGACCGACAGGCGACAACGAACAATGCAAATTTACGGGATTTTGCTGAATAGCAATTACGGGTCCGATCTGGTTGACTCGAACCCAAAGTGTGTCAGGTTCGGGTCTGAAAATCTTATCCATTTTCAAAAATGTGCCGAGTTTGGGTTGACCCCAATAGTGTCGGGTCAGTTCCGGGTTGAACCCGAACCCGACTTGTGACCCGATTTTGACAGCCCTACCATAAAGCATTGTAGGTCTCATTATCATCTTATAAAATATTCCCTGAAGTTTGACAGATACTTTGATAGTTTTCTATCATACAATAGGCCCGATGCATTCTTCCACTTTAACTATCCAACTTAAATTTTACTAATAAAATCCTCATGTATTTCACCATTATTTTGAACAATATACTTGATATATCTAAAATGTACACTCTTTTTAATGATTTGATTACCCAATGTTACAATTCAACCACTAGATCTATTACTAAAATTATACTCAATGTATTCGATTTAAGATCTAGTCAAACGTAAACTTTTAGACTCAATAGTTGACCTCCATAATTCAAGTTTTTCATCAATTCCCTCTCTAGTCTTATTTATAAGAAAATATCATAAAAAAAAAGCATACACCAGGATATATCCTTTTGCAAATGTCTAGTAAGAACATCCATGACTAAAGTAAAAAGATATGGGCTTAAAGCTGATCTTTGATGTAATCCAATTGAAATAGGGAAATATTTGAACCACCTTGTATTTGAACAGAAGTAACAACTCTTGTATACATATCCTTAACAATTTAAATATAAGCATTTTTAAATCTTGTCTTTTCTAGAACTCTCTAGAGCACTTCTTGTGGAGTTTGATTATATGCTTTCTCTATATCATATATTATATTTCTAACAAACTAACTTAATATTTTATATACATTACAAATCATGCTGATTATTTTATTTGGTATGCCTTCATATCATTTTCATTCTATTTAGGGCCCATATAACCTTTCTACAACTATCTATGAAAATAGATATGGAGTTGTTGCAGGAAAAGTATATTTATTTAAAACATATTGTGGAAATGCATCTGGAATTACTTCAGGTTTTGGTGGACTCCAAATTTGGTATGTGGGCTTGTTGGTGTTCCTTTTAGATGATATCATCTTCTAGTCCGTTGGAAGTACCATCCACTATTTGATGATCCATGGCTGATGTAATATGACGTTTTATTTGTATGTATTATCACTTCCACTCTCTAGAATAGTGTTCTACAGCCAAGGGAATTGATTTGGACATAAAATTTGAATTTTTATTATGTATCCTATGGACTTCATTATTTTATTAAGATTTGTTTAGTCAATATCATTAAATTTATTAGCAGTTTGTTAACAATTTTTAATTTATTAGCAGTTTGATTGTTTGTTAGTAGTTGATTAAGTGGTTGTTAGTAGTTTGTTATGTCATTCATCGATAAATATGAAATTTGAAATCAAATTAGTTTTATAGCATGAACAAAATTTTACTTTGGATGTCAAGATTTTTCTTCATGCAGTTCGTGATTTGAACTTGATTAGATAGCCTTGAAATCCTTCTGGGACAGATCTCCCTTTATATAAGCACGAGGTTTGCTTATTTCCTTACTTTTATTAATCTTTTTATCTTTTTCAATGTTTTTATCTATTGCATTTTATCCTCTATTTTCATGACTATCCTGCATCAATTGACATGCCATAAAAAATATGTAAGCGGTAGCCGAGATGGGGTGATTGAAAAAATGGTTGACTACCTCCTACCAAACCTCATTCATATTGCAGGAGTGTTAAACAAATGCATCAATAAATATGATTCGCATAGGAAAGTTTCAAGAATGATCAGTTAAAAGGATTTCGTTCAAAGTAGAAAATGCTTCGAAAATCTTCTGCTGAAACCATTATTCTGACTGAAGCTGTAGAGAGTAATAATAGTTTTATAGATCTGCAACAAAACATTTTATTGGATCTATTACCTTGGCCCTAAGGTACATATTGTCATTTTGGAGCTCCACTTCCTGCATTTAGAAGAATAAAATGCTCTCAAACTTTATAAAGTAACCAGAAACTAAAAGCAAATAGGTGCAGGATAAGGGATTACTCGTTTCTGCATATACTCAATTTCTGCAAAGAGCAGCTCATGCTGACAAGAAGATAATGGAATTGTAAGTGTCTAGTCAAGTTGAACAAAGACGAGGAAATAACAGACACAGAGTCAATGTTTTGGCTTTTTTTTTTTTTTTTAAATTTAACCCTCTAATCTTTTACTAGTCGTTTGAGGTCACTTAACTTCTTGTTTTTTTTCATTCTTTTATGTTTTAACATCAAAGAAAACATATTTGATATCCTAAAAATATAAATTTTTTATTTTTATTTAGTATTAAATATCATAAATATTCAACAAATTTTACGATGGTTGTAGACCTAAAAAGAATTGGTTGAAAAATATTAGAAATGATCTTTCTTTATTATATTTAAACTAGAATTTGACTTTTAATAGGACAATGGAGAAAAAGGATTCATGTAGGCGACCTCATGTAGTGGGGCAAAGGCTTGATGTTGTTATTATTGTATTAAATATGTTGATTAATGCAATTGTAGTGACGGCGCTAGTAGCACAATAGTGGCCGTTGGTAAGACGATGAAGGCTATGATGAAGGTTAGTCGATTGTGATAGTTGTTTTTTAAAATGTTGAAAACACTTTCATAGTTATTTTGAATGTTTTAAGAAATTACCTGATTTATTTTTAAATTAAAATAAATGTAGCAAGAGATGCACTAAACAAGCATGTTCTTAAGAAACAGAAGAAAAAAAAGTGATCCCAAAATGTTATAACAAGGAACATAAGAAAACTTTATTATGTTTTGCTGCAAATAGCGTCCAAATCCTGGAAGTTCTGCAGCAAATTACGTTCTATTGTTTTGGTAAGACATTAATGATAGCAAACAAGCCATTCGCTTATGATGTTGTTACCTTCTTTGATCTGACCCTTGTAATGCCTCTTTCAAGTCTGTTTTCAAGTTGCTTCAGCTCCTTTAAAGTAAGAGAACTCAATCCTTCCCCCATTAAATGCCTGAAACATCATGTTATAACATTTTATTATTTTCCAAGTTTTCTAATTCCTTTTTCTTGTTCAAGGTTGCAGTAAAGTATGCCATGTGTTCCTTCAAATCAAAATATATCTGGAGAAGAAAAAAAAGATTACCTGTTTGAATTTTGTAAAAGCTGAATTTGGTGGCGCAGTTTTGCTGATTCTTGTTGATAGTATTGCTGCATTGGCAAAATTAAAGCAAAGGAAAGCACATGAGACACCAAAAATTTCCTTTACATTCGCTTACAGCATTTGTTGATAAAGGTACAGAAGTGACATACTTTCCTATGAAGTATTTGTTTTAGGGAAAATTATTCTGTGCGGACGCCGAACGAAGTCCGGAGACCAACCAAAATGTGCCACATCACCCTGTGCTCGGTACCGCGGCTCGGTATCGCTGACGTGGCACATTTTGATTGGTCTCCGGACTGCATTTTGCATCCGGTCTTCGCACAGAATAATTGCTCTTGTTTTCGACATTAGATGATTGTTGGATGAAATATTGTCAAACATAGTTGAAGTGCTTTATTCATTGGTGTGGAACTTCACTTATAATTAAAATGAAAATTTAAGTGCTTCTTAAGCTTTGATGAAATGAAATATTCACTTGCATGACAAATCATCATATGTCAGGAAATTATAAAAATTATTCACAAAGAAAAATCGAATACGAAGCAATGTGCCAAAAAACTAGTACTTGCTAAAATATGCAGAGACTTATGTTTCGTTTGGGACAGTTTTTTTACTTCTTCTTAAAGCAGCTTTTGTGTACAAAAATTTTAACTTTTGTGCTAGAAAACAATTTTAAGAAGTAGTAAGAAAGTCATCACAAATGAAGCCTTAGTAAATTTTATCCTGAATAAATGACTAGTATGATCATACTTACCTGTGAGTTAACCTCCACAAGAGATCCTGGGTTTGAACTATCAGCACAAGCCTTCTTATACTTTTCAATGGTTGCTTTTATGCTGAAACAGACATTTATACGTGAGGAAAACCAATCATCGTATCAAAATAGTGAAGTCAGTCATACTTTTCAGATAATTTGCAAAATATGCTCTGTAGGATAAATGAAATTGTAGAAACCTGACAGTATTATATTCATTAGATACAATTTTGACACCTCTCAGCTTAAGAATGAAACATGTTATATTGAATACCTCTCAAATAATTAAAGTTTCGTTTGGGACAACTTTAAAACACAGCTTTTTTTTTTCTTTCAAAAGAATTTTTATTAAAAGGTAGCTTTATAAAACAGTAAAAAAATCCTCTCAAACGAAGCATAAAATAACATTCTTTTGTCCACTAAAGTAGCATGCTTTCTACAAGTTATTGATATTTTACTATTTGATATATTGAAAAAGAAATATAGAATAAAATGAAATAAAGTGTGAAATTAATATAATGTTGAATTATTTAGAGTTATTTGGATGAATGTAAAATAAATCTAAATGATTACATTTCTTTTTTGTTTGGGTTTAAATGAATGCACTGTAAAGTCCAAATGATGAAGATGCCCAATGGCTGGAGGTGATGGTTGGTGGCTAGCATTGATGGTAGATAGTGAGCACTGTAGTGGCAATGGCGCTGCTAATGATAAATGTTAGTGTATTTGAAAATTGATCATATCTAAAAAAATTCACAAAAAAGAGGGTTAATTTTATATACCTCAAAATTTTATTCCATATTTTTCTACTTCAAACCAAATGTTAATATTTTCAAAAACCTGCATTTGGAGTATTTATACCCTTTTTATTTTAAATCATGCTAATGATTGCGCCTTGACTATATGTTGAAGATCATCCAATAATTAAGTCAAATCAATTTGAATAAGCCTAACCCTGAGCTAAATAGTACATCAACTCAATCAATCTATGTTGAAGATCTTATTCTGTGCAAAATTGCTACATGAAAGTGGTGAAATGGTCCCCTAATTTGGATGTTGAGGTGGACTCTCCGATTGTGTCTATCTGGGTTTCCTTCCCTCACCTCAGACCCCATCTCTTTTCTCCTAGGATCCTTTTCGGAATGGGTTTTCTCTTTGGTCGCACGCTCAAGTCGGATATGGCTACTGCGTTGGGTTCCCGTCCGTCGGTGGCTCGTATTCTTGTTGAATTAGATGTTACAAAAAAATATCCTTAAATGATTTGGGTTGGTTCTGTGAAAATGGGTTATGTTCAAACTGTCATTTTTGATGATCTTCCCCATTTCTGCATGCATTGTAATTCTTTAGGTCATTTTAAGGATGTTTGCCCTATTTTGCATCCCATTCTAAATATTCCTAAGCCTGTGGCTGCTCCATGTGATATGTCTGGTTTGAATGTTCTTGATAATGGCTCTAACGTTGCTCTGAAACCGTCTGTTATTTCAGTCATGCAGTCTGTTGTTCAGGTGGACAATGCGGTGCCGGGTGGTGATGACGGTACTCTTGATGTTGCTGCTACTGTTTTGTCCCATGATGCATTACCTTTTGTTCCCCCAATTTTGGAATTGGGCTCTCCGACGCCTAATTGTTCTGCGATAGTGCTCGTTATGTCGTTAAATCATCTTTGTCCAGCTGATGAGGATGTTGCTGAGGTGCCCTCTGTGAACCTTTGTGAGAATGTTGAAGTTGGGGTTTTACCTACTGTTGTGTCCCCTCAGGCTAGTCATAGTGCGGTTAATAAACTTGGTTGCACTGTTAATGCTGCTCCCTTGTTTTCGGTGGTGTCTGCCCAGCCAATTTGGCTGATTTTTCTAAAACTCCTGAGGTTGTAGTTGGCTCGATTGGGTCTGTTTCTTATAGTGATATTTTGGGTGTGGTTGGGTGTGTGGGATCTTCTTGTGATGCCCCCATCTCAACCCCTGTCAAAATTGGTTTAGTTTAGAATTCGTTTGTGGATGTGCCGGTTAACTTAATTGACCCTCGTGACTTGGTGTATAATGTGAGGGACAATTCTGGGTTGGACCTTCGTGTGCATCTTGATTGGTGTCATGGGTTTTTTGACTCTGATTATGTTTCCTCTTCTGTTGAGGATGACGATCCAGAAATTCTTTTGATATGCTGCGGGTAGGGGTGTAAGTGAGCCAAGCCGGCTCGCGAGCCAGCTCAAGCTCGACTCGTTTATGGGCTCGCGAGCTGAGCTTATCAAGCTCGCGAGTCGAGCTCGAGCTCGAGTTCGAGCTCGTTTAGTAAACGAGCTCGAGCTCGAGCTTGAGCGGCTCGGCTCGTGAGCTCGCGAGCCGGCTCGAAT